ATTGGAAAAACACAGTGTTTCGCGACTTTCCGACCTTTTCGCGCACCTGCATCTTCTTTCTTCTCACTCTTTCTCTTCTCTGATCTTCTCTCTTCTACTCTTCTCTTCTCTCTGACTCTTCCCATCTCTGCTTTTCATCTGTCCATATTGTCGGAAGTTTGACTTCTAAACTTCCTTCGATGATCATACATGAATATAGTCTACACAAGTGCATTGGTTTTGAATGTCACTGGGATGCAGATCGTAGTAGCCAGGCCTTCCCCATGCCGTGGGACGCAGTTGCGCAGGCTGCGACGTGAGGTTCCCCAAGCGCGGATTCCTGGCAGATGGGGAGATGGTTCCCCAAGAACAGCTGGATGGCCTTCTTAGCAGATATCTCTGTGAGGACACGAACTATGTGTTTTGCCCATTCGCAACCAAGAACATCCCAAGATGCATCATGGGGATCAGTCATCCCTAAAGGAGAATGAGTTCCATCCAACAAGGATTGGGATTTCAACATGTAGCGCTGTCTCAAAGTTGTAGGGTGTCCCTACTCTCCAGATCAAGACCGTCTGACCGTCTGACCATCTGACCATCTGACCCTTCATTGTGGCGCCCGGACACGCGAAAATTGCTCCGAAAAAAATGCTCTCTTCGTGGGTCCCTAGGGGTAGACCACCCAAGGGCATGCTCCGAGCATCCCATCATCACTGAACGGAGTCGGCAGACCAGGGTCTGCCATGGATGACAAGGTTCTCTGATCCAATCCAGTTATGAAACGAAAGGTCCCTGGACACTGCTCATTTTCAGGATTTTTCTCCATCCAAACTCCGATTTATGGCCATGGTGTCATGAGGTTGTTACCCAGTGCAACCTGGACCCAAATTGGGCTATCTCCGAATGGAAAATCATCTTCGAAGCCCATCCTCCATGTTGTCAGCAAGGAAAACCACCATTTATACAAAAATGTTCCCTTATAATATGCATTTATCCGTAATTTACCACAAGAAATCTGCATTCACACTCAATTGTCCCATTGAAAATCCCTGTCTACACACAAGTGTCCCATTCAAAATGCAAATTTATACACAGTTGTCATCAAATTGCCCCTTAAAAATCTAATGTCCTGGATTAACCCTTGTTGATTCTAGCACCCATCCGAGAAACATTTATATATATATATATATTATATATATATATAGATAGTCCCCCAAAAAAAAATATGATGTGTTTGGGAATCTGGATCGTGTGATAAACCCAATACTCAACCATCCCTAGTATTGCCATAGGGGGTAAAAACGATACCCAAATGGTAGGTTTATCGCGTTACCACATCGGATAGAAGCCACATGGATTTAACCTCCCCACAACGGTTTTTTTTTGGGTAGAAATCCAAAGAAAACCATCCATTGACGATTTCCGTAGCAGTTTCCATGGTGGATTTCCTTCGGTCCTCACCGCGCCCCAAACTCGCCAGCCCCGCTGGGTCTCAGGAACTTCTTCTTCTTCTTCGATCACGTCCTCCTGCGATGTTTTTTGCAAGGCTGTACTCAGTCTGCCATGGCAGCCATGGTGATATAATCAGCAAACCATGTGCAAAACTAAGGATTTCATGGGGATTTCGCCAGCAAATGTGGAAGTGATTTCATGAGATTCAAACCAGGATTTAGCCCGCAAAAAACATGTTGGTGGGGATTTAACCGTGACTTCACCAACAACCAATTCTGGGACCCTAAGATAAAATTGCCCCCATTTTTGGGCCTCAAAATGAAGAGCAATTCAATTCTAACAGGTATCAACTGGGGGTATTTATGGGAAAGTGATTTTATCCTTGGGGGCTATTAGAGTTTGTTTCCCAGCCACAGATAAAGCATAGAACCACCTGAATGCGGATCCCAAAAAATACCATTGCATCCTCCTGAACGTATTAAGCAGATGGTTACATCCTTCCTTCATGAGATTTCTCATACATTCGATTCATCAAAGTAGGGAAAACCCTACCACTGCGATAAACTGGAATATTTAGAAGTTCTGAAGCTTCAAATTTGATCTCCCAAATCACATACAAAGAACATGTTGTTGTCAACCGCTGTCCCAGTCTATAGACCCAACCTTTTAAAGGAGACCGGAGAGCACCCCCTATCTATTCAACAGCCTCCCCTCGAACAGCTGTGCTGTTGGCTGACTCGGAAATCTCAAGGTGCTGTAATTTGTAGTGATAAAGCCAAAAGCAAACCATTCCCAATAACTTACCAGAAATGGGTGATATATAGATATATATATATATATATACATACTCATGATATGTATATAAATATTGGATGTATGTATATATATATATATAACAACCCAAAATTTAAGGCTTCTGGCAGGCTTAGCACATTGATGACGCTGCTAACATCAGGATCTTCCAACCATCGAGTCGAGTAGCCGAAAAGTTTCGTTGCTTGGATCCTCATTGTTTCAGAGAATGGAAATCACCGTTTTCAATGAGTAAATTATGGTAAAACATGTGAATATCTATGTGAATTATGGTAAAACATGGTAAATTATGGTAAAACATCTACAAATTGTGCATATATGTGAATATCCACTAGCAGATTTGAGTACTTAAGGGATCTTAGGGGCCACAAGGTAAACATCCAAGTGTTTTGATTTGTCCGTGTAAACCTACACTATCTTTAAGCAATCAACTCCGGATGTTTGCTTAAATCCCAATGTTTTCCTCCGCTTCCATGATAGCGCATTGGATTAAACACCCTTCATCTCGTCAATTGTGTGGGAATGGAACTGCCGTACTCCCAAATCTAAATGACTAGACTTAAAAAAATAACTAGACTAGAACATGTATTTCATTGTGTTTCTCATTGTACTTGGCATCAAACCCAAATATTTGATAATATTTGCATGTTACCTATTTGCCAACACGGTCTATTCAATGGCCAATGCCTTTCACGTATGGTTTTCTCCGCATGACGATTCGAGCAACATTCGTTCAAACGAACCATCCTTATCTGTTTTGTTGTTAAAACCCACACAAATGTAGGTAAGAATGGAGAAATCTTCATAGTCTTCATTGAATTATTATATATATATACCATCTGGATATTTAACAGTTTGCCATGGAAAGATCCACCTTTTTTAAGAACGGTAAACCATCTAAAAATCGATTAGGGCCATCAACAAACCATGGCGAACTGTGAATGTCAGTCATAACCAGGTTGGGTATATCAACAATATCAACAACCTCATTACCACCCATCAACAAGCGGCATTTTTCACGGCACCAGCCACCACCGCCGGTCGCGAAGACCAACCTCCTTCTTCCGGCCCCAGCCACCACCGCCGGCAGGCACAAGGCGAATACCGGGATCCTGGAGACCCGGAGACTGACCGGCGTGGAAGTTTTCCAGCTGAAAAGTGGTTGGTGGTTAATGGTTAATGCATTGTTAATGGATATATATCTGGTTGGTGGTTGTGGTTATAGTGGATTATAATGGTTATATAGTGGATTATAGTGGACTATAGTGGATTAACAATGGTTAATAATGATGAAAACCCATGCTTATCTGGTTGGTGGTTGAGTTTGAACCCCTCTGAAAAATGATGGAGTTCGTCAGTTGGGATGATGATATTCCCAATATGATGGGAAAAATAAAATTCATGTTCCAAACCACCAACCGGTTGATTTTGAAAATCATGGAGTTCGTCAGCTGGGATGATGACATTCCCAATATGATGGGAAAAATAAAAAATGTTCCAAACCACCAACCAGATGAAATTGATTTCTTCAGATGTTTATCAACAAAAATAGTGACCTTTTTTTGAAAACTTCAAACATTCCCCACCTAGGTGAGGGTATCGAATTTTTATGTCAACTCCTTGTCCCCCTCCTTCTCCTGCTCACTGCCTCTTGTAGCAGCTCCCTCTCAGCTTCGAATACCCCTCATACGAGACAAACACGAGTAGATTCAGCACTAAACCAAGGTTTCTAGGTTGACTTAAGCTGGGAGACAAAACCAACCAAGAAACAGGTGTGAACATAGTCGCCAACTGTTGGTTGACGTATATCATTATATAGTATCTCAGATCCTCCAACCGGGCAACATCATCACCCACAAGATCACCCAAAATCACAATCATCGATATCCTGGGAATGGAAAATCACAACAAAAGCGCCATTGACTGCATCAAAAACTGGCAACACAAAACAGGGCAAGCCCCCAAACATCATTTTGAAGAATCAAAATGACTGCCAAAAATCACAAACACGCGCACACACGCACACACACACACAAACACACACACAAACAACCCAAAATCGCCCACATCTCTAAACAAATGGAAAAGCACCTTAAAAGAAAACGTTCAATGAGCCGGAAATTAGCCGTAAAAAATCACTCTAACCGTTCAAATCCACCTATATTTGGGGCGGAGAATTATCTATCCATCAATTCCTTATTTCCGGGAGCCGTGGTAACATCGTAGTGAGAAGGGCCTGCCCCTAAGTTCACCGCTCCATCGTGCTCCAAATGGTATGCTATTTTTACAAAGTTTTTTTTTTTTTTTTCGCACCATTATTTGCACCAGAACATCTTCTCAAATTTCACCCCATGAATAGTTTTTTTCTGTATGTTTAAAACATCCACAATCACCCATTGTTTTGATATGTTTTGATCTTGAACTGAACATACAAAACAAAGCACCCAGAATCTCATGTAATCACTGCCAATCACCCCTTCAAAGAATTTTCCAGTCCTGGCCCTCATTCTCAGACTTCAAAGATCCAAGCTGGACCGGTCTTGGCACCTCAACCCTGCGGGAGCTGGGAAAACATGGGGGATTCACCACCGGCAAGAATTGGTAACCAACGAAGAAAGAAATGGGATGGTATCGAAATTCAGCAACAACATATTGCTTGACTAGTAAAAAGTGCATAAAAGTGCGAAGTCCTGTGAACAAGAACAAGGCTATTCAGCCACAAGAACCGTGGCTACTGCTCCGATGCTCTCGTTTGAGTGGCTCGGTCACATCACCACTGGAATGGTGAAATACCAGAGAAATACCAGGATTCAGATAGGATAAGCTATCGGTCGCTGCCTTGGCGCCGCACGGGATTGCCTCAGGATTTGATGATCGCAGGCAGTTGTGCCATGAAAAATTGATGGACATGATGAACGCACCAACACAAACATCATAACATCACTAAAGTTCACTAAAGACATGCCGTGAAAATCCTGGAGGTCACAAGAAACTCTATGTGTATCGTTTTATGTCGTCAAGTTTTGATGTCCGTTCACACCGAGTTCCCGACCACATCCACACAACTTGCCGTTCAAAACGAGAAACGAACGAAGCAGCTGGAAGCGAAGGCCGGGAGCAAAACGGAATGTAGGGCAGCTGACTTGTGAGCTCTTTTTTGTCGCAATGGCTGCAGATGGTGACACAACTGGCAGCAAGAAGGGGAAACACAACTGGCACGAAGCGCATCCGAAGATCTCACAAAAATAAATATAAAAAACGATGAAAACGCCATCCATCTTCGCTGTTTCTTCATGATGGTTGATCCAAAATCTGAAGCAAATGCAAACCCGCCACAGAGATGCCAGCTTTGAAACCCACACCATGAGGTCAAGCACCAGCGGCACCAGCGCTGCTTTTGGTCAATTCCCTGCACTGGTCACTGATCGCCCCATCTGGCGCCGACCATTTTTCGACATCCAGGGGGACGATCCGAAACGCCCGACATCTTTCAAAAGGGTTGCTGCGATCGGACGGCGGCGAAAGCGATCGGCCGGCGTCCATGGTGAATCATCCTTTTTCGGAAACAAAAACATGTCAAATGGTCATCTTTTTGGGGCAAAACCCGGAAAAAAAAAAAAAAAACATTTTCAGACACCAAAAAAAAAAGTGGAAAGCGGCAAAAAAACCAAATTGTCAGTGGGTTTGCTATCCCAGCACTTCGATCGTTGACTATCCGACAAGTTGAAAGGAAAACACGATATGTTAGGACTATCAGTTCTGAATTTTCACACCCAGAAGTCTGTAGCAATAAGAGACGTTCCCACTGAAAACCTCGACACTTTTCCCCTATCAATTCTCCAAGATCAGCTTTCGCGATTGAAATCTGCGCATTTTGCGGGGCGGGGGCGGGACAAAACTTGTCCTAGGTCCCCAGGTACGCACTCCACAGCAAGAAATGCAGTCTTTCAGATGCAGAAATTGTCCAAACAAATGACTATGGCTCACAGCTGGGGCTACCAATGGATCTAAAATGATCATTGGTAGATGTTTAGCTTTTAACCATCCATTTTAAGCGGAGTAGCTAATTTTAGCACAACCGTTCACATGTTGTAGTAATTTAGATGCTGGTTGAACCAGAAATTCGCCGGGTCGCCCAAGAAAATACCGAACAGGATCACTCCAGCAATCACAAGGTGTGGTCCCAAAGTGGGGACCTACAGTAGTCCACCACATTCTAGTCTATCTTCAAAGTAAGTGGAAATCCTCATGCGAAGTGGGACTTTTGCCTCGGTTCACTCTTGTTGGGTGTGCCCCAGACCCCACCATTGAATCTGACCTTGTTGATACCACCATGCTCAGCTCCCAGATGAGGAAACTCCATGATTGGTCGCTGCAACATGGTGATTATCCATCAATCTCTGGACGTTTCTTGCCAGAGGAAATATAGATGCTAAGATGATGGAAAATATATTGAAAAGAATGTTTGGATTCGGAGCACCGCATGTTCAGACAATCCCAACTGGCCGTCCATAATTTAACCACTAAATGTCCATATTGTACCCTATCAATAACACATATCGGTGGCTTATTAAACTCTTCGTACATCCTTGTAATCTTACATAACCGTGGAGCACCTTGAAGCACATATGTTGGAGTCGCAGTCTGCAACCGCCCAGGTGTCTCCCCTTTGGGGAGAAACACAAGTGCAGCCGCACAAACCGAGAAGTGAGCGGCGTGCAGAAAGAGCCGACAAGAGGTTCCGTCCACCAGTGACGAGGTGTGTTTAATTTCTTTTGCGCGTTGCATCTCCAGCATCTATACACTCATCATGTAATGTATACCTGAGGATCGCATATACATGTGAAGTGTAAGTAATACATTGTATAAAGAGTGAAAATCCCAACGAAAATGCGGATGTCACCAACCAAGGTGAGCAGACGTTAGAAAGCAAAAGGCATTCTATAGTAAGCTTTGGTAAGTCGCTTCATCTGACTTGATGGCTGTAAGGACGAAGCTGTATTATTGACTAATTATAGAATTTCTTTCCCACAAGTGTAACCCCCCCCGGAAACCCTGGCTGTATCAGTTCTGGGGTGATTGTCAAGACGGGGAAAAGCTAAGAAATGATCATCCCCATGGAACATCACTAAGCCCTGCTCGCGTCGCTCGCGTCTCTCTTGAGCACTAGTCAGCCAATTCAGTACTTCATCGCTCCTCGCTTGAAGCTGCCATTCGACCCGGGCCATGATCATAAGTGACAAGCATCAAGCACCATGATTCATGACGTGGGGGCGGCTGGATATAAAGCGGTTTGGAGTGCGGTTCACCAAGCAAAACCAGGATACAACCAAGGATAATTAACCATGATGACCTGCACCGGCAAGAATTCAGCAACCAACAGTTTTTTCAGGTCATTGAACATCACTGAACATGATACCAAATAGGGACATACCGATATACCGTACCCAATAACAAAGCAAAATTGGGGATGAGTTCCTATTGGGTGTAGCTTATTAGTCACAACAAGTTCCCCCAATCAAGTCAACAAGTCTTCTGGTTGCTGGCGAAATATGGGGCCAATGGGGCGGACATGTCAGACCAGGGCCGTGTCGTTTATGACCCCATGTTCATGAACGTGAACCCACAATGGCCATGATCACACCCCGAAAAAACATGGCTGGAAAATCCGTCTTGGGCGTTTGTTTCCTCACAACTTTTGGCGGTCTCGAGGGCAAGTGTACCTGACTATCCACAAATTATATCAAATGATCCCCATATCATATTGCCCCATCTGTTGAATTGACTGCTCTACTTGAAACCTCCATGGTGATTGGGTCATACTTCGCCAGCCTAAGAATATACCCTCTAGTGTCATCATGGCCGTGGCTAGCTACGATTTCATGGAGGTTTCGGTCGCTGAGAAAATCCATCAATGGGGTAGGTGTTATTGCCATGTTTGATTACAGGAAGGTATTTGAAACTACCAACCAATGCCAACAAATCGCTACCCAGATCTGGCCTACCGCCTGAACATCCATTCCAGAAACGCCTGCGCGTTCCGGGTCGAAGAAAACGCCAATGGAATTCCGCTGAATCTAGTTTCAACCAACCAGTTTCCTGTATGTGTTCCCGTTTTTTGATGGTTGAATGCGCTAAACCCAATGTGGTAAACTGGTAAACCCAACAATGAATTCACGCAGCTTTACCATTTGATAGCTATTTGAAACGATACCCAAAAAAACAGAGCTAGGGTTGAGGTCTTACCACATTAAAATGATGTTATCGGATTTGACCATAGGTTAATCACAAACCACGTCGTAGTGTTTTTTGTTTAACATATGGGTAAATGCCGATTACTGTACCCCAAGAATCGAACCCAAGTAAAGTCTATATCACCGCTGTATCCCCTAAAAATGGTTGTCAAAATCGCCAATTTAAAGCCCAGGTTGTAAAGTACAGGGAACTGAAGTGAAGTATATATTATGCCTCATGTTTTATAGATGCGTGTCCCATAAAATGCCCCATTTCCTGGCGTTGATAGACTGAGACGGCCAAAAATTGGGAACAGATCCCACATCTTTGGACAGGGTCCATATCAAGTAATATCTGATCATATTCCATGATTAACCATCATGACTTTAGTATCCCCATAAATGATGATTGAATAATCATACATTCCATGATTGATAAATATGATAATAATTGATAAATATTCCAATGATTGATAAATATGATCACATATTCCATGATTGATTGATTGACACGATCCAATGATTGATAAATATGATGGTGCGTTTAATCTCCGCATGTTTCACGGTGGTAAAGTGCATCTCTGATGAAAATAACCCTCTGGTTGGTCAAGTTATCCCTCATCCATTTCTTCCAAACCCAAATCGCCAACATATATATATATATACATACATGCGGGGTTCCATAAATGGGGGATGCCCAAAATGGTTGGTTTACAATGGAAGATCCTATTGAAATGGATGACTGAGGGCTATCCTCATTTAGGAAACCTCCGTATAACAATGGTTCATATATTCCGAAAATGCCACACCATACATGTGTGAAAATGACCTATGGAAAATTTTTATACCCCTTCATGTTCCCATTGTAACCCTACAAGAAAGGCTGGTTTCATCCGTCCGACACTTTCTTGCGTAATACACATGTCGAACAAAGCCAAGTTACTTGGATCAAAATGTTGCGTGGATAAACCGGTAAACCTCAATGCTTACCCTCTGGTAATTTAACATAGCTATGGAAAATCACCATTTTTAATGGGAAAATCCACTATAAATGGCCATTTTCAATAGCTACGTTAAATTACCAGAGGGTATGTAGGTTGGCATTTCATTGTTCTGGGTTAAATGCCATGTTATCAAGTATCAAATCCCTGCCCTAATGTCCTCATCCTGGACTTGCGCAAGGAACCCCCCAAAGAAAATAACGCATCTTCCCTATAAAGAGCCCAAAAATCATCAACAAGTTCTGCAAATGGGCATTTCTCCAACCCATCAACTATAGTTGTATCATGTGTTTGCAATGTTTATATATACATGATATATGTACATATGCATATACATATGTACAGATACATATATATATATATCCCCCTAATCAACCCCAGTTAAATCCCCATGAATCATCATTTTTCCTGTCAAGATCGTCCATGGGGATTGCCGGCAAACCTCGTAGTCCACGGGCTCGCTGCTGACGCCCAGACCCGCGCCCTAGCTGGGAAACCGATGGCACGGTGGGTGGAAGAAATCCTGCACCACCAATTTTGGATGGTTGAAACCGTTGAAACCCTATAAATAATGGGAATTTATGGGAATAATAGGATATAAAATATGGGAAATCCCTATAAATTGATGGTTGAAACCCTATAAATCATGGGATAAACCACCTATCAACTGGTGCAGGATTTCGCAAGCATCCACCGTATCGGGCTTTCCATAGTTATGGTGGATCCCTAAGACTGCCCTAAGAGCTGCTTGGTTGAAAAACTGTTTGCTGGTTTCATGGAAAATCCCCATCTAGAAATGGATGATTTAGTGGAAAACCTCCATCCAGCTCAAAATCTCCATCGAACGCGCGGGAAAAAAAAACCCGGCCATGATGACACCGGAGGGTTTTTGTGTTTTTGTTTGGTATTTTTCAATGAACTGAAAAAGAAAAACACTTGTTTATTTCCTAAACCATCCAAAAGGTGGGAAACAAAAACTGGAGATGTATTTTGGATCAAGGTAAGGGGATCCGTTTTGTTAGAAATGGGTATTTGTTTGGCGGGATTGTTTTCCGTTTCACCAACAAAAACCGCAGGATTTGGCAAACAAAAACAACACGGGGGATTTGCTCAACATGGGAAACTGAGGAACGATGGGTCTTGTATAGTCAAAAGTTCTACGACCATATCATATATCCATAGTCAGAATAGTCAGGGGTTAGAAACGCACACTGTGACCTCCAAAAGACCAGCTGAGTTTAAAGTCTCCAAGAAAACACACCATCTTGATCTGATACATAAGTGGTACGTACCCTCCAGTGAGCTAGCAATCAATTCTATACAGACTGTATCGTGTTCACCCCGTAGTACGTTGCCCGATTTGTAGCTGACTTGCATGTACCACATCACAGACGGGCCATGGGTCCCTGCCATGTTCTACCCAGTTCTATACCAAAGAAAACTGGGATTACAACTACTATCACCAATTAGATACCCCAAAAATCACATGTTTTGCGTAGATTCATCCACCACAAAAGAAAACCGGTTGTACTAAAGTAGCGATTCCAATTAGTTTCCCTCTATATGTTGATGGTGAAAATCACTACCCATCCAGCCCATCCAGTTGGTTCCTGGAGAAGCTTGGAGATCTCATCGTCGGTGAGACCTCCAACCTTGGGATGTGCCCCTTGGGGGTCCGACATGGGACTTCATGGGGATTAACCAATGATAGTCATCATCAATAGCCAATCATAACAAGATTGAACGAAACATAAGACCAATGAAAATTTGGAAAAAAAAACGGATCCATCCCTTTTCTTCGATCGATGGATTGGTTTTGGTGGGAAAATCTAGTTGAAACCATGGCTTTGATCACAAATGTAGGGGTGAAACCTGTATACAAGTGTGCATGCATATGTATTATTTATATTATAGAATATACAGTGTATAATATACATTATATCATATTTTAAATATATTAAAAAATATATTATTTGAAAAACAATGTATATAAAATATAGAGTTGTATTATATATATATCATATATATTTTTTAAATTATATATTATATATTATATATTATATATTGAATAGTTTTTACAATTTATATATATAATATTAAAGATTTTATATTACATATATTACATATACGATATATATTATATTGTATATATTATATATAAAAACGTGTGATATTAAATGAAATATATCTTATATTATATATTATATCGAATATGATATATATATATATATTATGTATTATTTTCTATATTATGTATATATTCTATATTTTATATGTTTTATATTATATATATACATATATTTAATTTATATATTTTATATATTTAATATATATATATATTATATTATATTATATTATATATATATTATATATTATATATATTATATTATATATATATTATATATCTATTATATTAAATATATTAAATTATATATATTATATTATATATATTATATTATATATATTAGATTGTATATATATATATGTAATATTTTATAGTTTATAATTTATCTATAATATATTTTATATATATATATATTATATTTTTATATTATATTATATATATTATATTTTATATATACATATATATACTATATTTTATACATTATATATATATATTGAAATATCATATTTTATCTTTTGTTATATTTTTATCCCATTGCATACCGACATCGGCCAAGGTTCCAATATAAGTTGAGTAGGCCGTGCAATAAATTTTCTATATGGGAAAACGATGCATGACCTCCGTGAACAACGGGCCCATGAAAGCCATCTAATAAGGCGCCCATGACCCCTCATACAGTATATGGGGTGGTTCCAGCTGAGGAGGGTTCGGTCGTCTGCTGCGCTTTCCGGGCATGATTTGATTATATGCAGAGCCTCTTAGGCATCTTAAACACAGGCGCGTTTATACGCAATCGTCCGTTACACACAAACGCATTTACACAGTGACGCTGGTACGGGCAGATGCGTTTGCATGCAGCCCCCCTCGCAGGCACCTTTGACATACGCAGGCACCTGC